CAGATCACAGCCGAACCTGACTGTTAGACAGTAGAGGGTGTTGTCAGTGCAGCAGATCACAGCTGAACCTGACAGTTACAGCCTGTTAGACAATGGAGGGTGTTGTCACTGCAGCAGATCACAGCTGAACCTGACAGTTACAGCCTGTTAGACAGCAGAGGGTGTTGTCACTCAGCAGTAGGGAACACACCTGAGCTCTAGTCTTGGCATTCCAGGTCATGTGCTATCTGTCACTGCAGTTGTCAAGCATAGATTACCCCCTGGCTGGCATTTTTGCACCAATGACAGTGGTATCATTAGCAGAGAAAGTCATACCATTGGGCATACCAGTGTCCCTTCGATTACAAAGTGCTTTCCTCATTATAAACTAATGTAACAGAAATATTTTTGTTTCTACAACTTTGTCTTGACACTTTTTATAGCATCAGCTCCTGAGAGATAACCGAGCGGAGAGGGGACACAAGAAAAACTGCTCCGTGAAAACAGCCAGCAGGTAAGCACTCAGGACTCTCTCCATTCTCACGGGCTCAGTGCCCTTCAGTACAACCAAGAAGCCTGGTGAATTGTGGATTATTTATCAGAACTTGTTTCAGGGTTTCCAGTGATGAAGATGAAGATGCCATTTTGGTTATATTCTTTAATAAAGATGCTGTTTTGGTTATATTCTTTTTTCATAAAGATGCCATTGGTTATATTATTTTATAAAGATGCCAGTTTGGTTATATTCTTTAAAAAGATGTCATGTGGGTATAGTCTTTTAAAGCTGGCAAAATGTAAGGTAATAGTTTTTTTTTTTTTTCTAAAAGTGCTTTTAGGGTCCTTTTCATCTTAAGTTACATAAATGGTCTGTTTGTCTTCTTTTCTAATGTGGAGGATTTTCTGCAGTTTGCTTTTGACAGTGTGTTTTCAAATGTGCTTCTGGTGTTTCTGATGATTTCGTTTTCACTTAGACACCAGTGGCTTTCCTTCTTGCCTGATTATTGTTCAGAATGACTGCCAGATCTACTCAGGGCAGTGCAGGCTCCCTTGGGGAGAGTCATTGGCCTGTGGACATGGTGATTGTCTTGATCATGTTATTTGATTGGGAAGTTCCAGCTGAAAGTGGATAATATCAGTCCTTGGGTTTAGAACCTCACTTCATGAAAAAGAAGAAAATGAGTTCAGCACAAATTTTAATTCTTTGCTCTTGACTATGGTGTGACCAGCTGCTTCAGGTTCCTATTGTCTAGATTTATCACTATTGACGACTGAACTCGTGACTCAAGTAACCTTTTCACTTTCGGTTGTGACTCAAGTAACCCTTTCCCTTCTGGTTGTCTTTGCTGGGTGTTCGGCACAAACACAGGTGTGAGGCCAAGACCAAGAGACCGACTTTCTTGAGTCATCCCAAACAGAGCACAGCTGGCCTCAGGAGTCGGGAAGAGTTCTCCCTTTCAGTCTTTCTCTTCCACAAAAAAAAAAAAAAAAAAAAGGTGTAAACTGATTGGATGAGGCAGAATTAACCATCATACCTTGGACTTAAGAAGTATTTCTCAGAAACCTAAAGCTTTATCTGTAAAAGAACAAATGCAAAATGAGACCTTTATCAGACCTGAGAACTATTCTTCCCAAGACCTCATGAGGATGGCAAGGTACTCCACTGACTGGGATGAAATAAAAAAGACTCGACTATAGAGCGGGTATGACGTTTAGCCCATCAGTAGAGTATGTGTTTAATATCACTGGGCCTGGGGTCTGTCTGCCAGCATCACTATGTAGACATAAGAAAGGATGACTCCCCATTTCCTTCATTTCTTTGCTCATTCTAAGAAGTGACCTGTGTACTGTCATCAGACACTGTCTTCTGTGTCACTTCATGTGTCTTCCTCTCTCTAGGCCACGTAAGTACAATGCCTTTGCTTCACTGTACCACAAACATTCTTGGCACCTTGGGTGTCTACAGTAGGTGCTCAGAATAGCTGTAGAATGAGTTGAAAGCTAAGCCTAAGGAGTGGATATACTCATGTTTGTTCTGGGATTAGCATGCCTGACTGCAGCCCAGTGTCCATGCTCTAGTTGGGTGATTCTGAGCAAATATTGAAGTTTTCTCTTGTTCCCATGTATAAAATGCAAAAGGAGCAGCGTCCACTCTGTAGCATTATTCTATAGATAGACAAACACGCCTGTAAGGTCTCAAGCACTGGCTTCTGTAACTCTCATATTGCCATTGCCTTTCTTACCTACCTACATGTTTTCTACATGTTTGCTGAATTGTATTTTTCAGTCATATTATTTTCACACAGTTAACAGTATTAAATTCTCTGTAAGAAAAATAGTGTACAGAAGGGCCCATCGCCATCCTGTCCTGTTCTCTGTAATTACTCTCCGAACACTTCAACTTTTAGCTCTTCCTTTTGCTCTTGGCCTCAGTGTAGCCATATTGCATGGTTTCATGACCACTTCCTTAGCTTTTCCAGTTCACACTGCACTCGGACTCTCCTTTGACTGACTCCCACGTCCCCACACATACCCATGCCTGCTTCTTCATCTTTTCCTCCTCACTAAATATCTGTTGTCATTAAGAGAATATGCATGTCGCTGTTAACCATTTGTGTATAACTTTCGCTTGTGGTGGTCATGGTTCTGCTTACCACTTGCTTTATTTCCTATTTTTTTTTTTTTTGCCCCAGTTCATCAATAATCTGACCCTGGAATTGTAGCTGCTGGTTTGTTGTCCTGCTGGCATCCCCCTTGGCTGTCTATTTTCAGTTTTGTTCTGTACTGTCAGCCAGGCCTGACGTGTGACATGTGCAGCATCCTTATTCCTCATTGGCCCCAGCAGACTTTTTCACCTGTCTCCCATAGAGTTCTGTTCTCAGGATCCCATGGCATTATTTTCTTTGAGCTCTCAGGGCAGGACAGCAGGTTGTTCAATCAGAGAGATTTTGTGTGTCTGCAAATGCCTTTATAGTTTTATCACATTGCTCAGTTTTCCTGAAAATTGAACTCTGATTTGGAGGTCATTTTTCCTTAGAATTTTCATGCCCCCCACCATCTTTAAGTTTTTAGTAATTGCATTTCTTGCTTCTAGCTTCAATATTTAGGGTATTGGAGAACCTTTAGTTCCCCATTTTTAAGCCCTTCTCTCTCTCTCCCTCCCCATCTCCCATCCCTGTCTATTTATCACATACATATATGACATTTCTATGTTAAAATACATAATTATACAACCTATACAGCCATGCAACAGGTACAAATACAAACATAAGCTATGTTCTTAGAACACTGCTGGTCAGTTTTCTCGATATTTTAACCCAAATCTTTAAATGATTCTTTAAAACTTCTGTACTCTTATTTCCAGACCACCTTTTTGAGCATTATCGCATATTTCCTCTTTGTCTTGATTAATGGCTGTGCTATGTGTCCTTTTTGCCCTGGTGCCATAGGCTGTATTCGGTACAGGGCAACTTGGAAAGGTGAAATAAGATTGAAGCTTCAATTTTGTTCTGAATCTTATTAAATGCAACATGAAAATCTTCACCTTCCAATTCATATATATTATTCTACATTCCTCTCCTGAAACCCATTTTCTTTCTTAGTATTTTAATATTATCTTGACTTTTCTTAACCCTTTTGGATGAGTGACTGCACTTGCCTTTTTCAACTTGGGGAAAAACATAAAGGTTGGAGAAGAGAACAGTATTGCACCGAGTCATTGCATCGGGGACCATTTACTCCCAGAATATCCCAAGCAAGTGCAGAGGCGTGAGTTCCCAGGTGCTCTGCTGGAGTGAGTCAAGGCTGAGATGCTGACGTGTTTGACTGTAGCACACCCTTAAAGTGGGCTTTGTTCACAGATGCTCTGAGCACACGACCGAGCGCTGTGAAGGAGTGTAGCACAGCTCTTCCGGGCACCTTGGGGAATTTAAGAATCTTCCTAGCAGAGCTTCAGTTATATCTTTACCAATGCTACTAACTACAGAACATCGAGTGGTAGGTTTCTGGGTATCTGCATCATACTCTTTCCTCTCCTACTTTAATGTTTTGCGCTCTTTACATTAATGTAAATATAGCAGTATTGTCTTTCTACCAACATGAGGCAGTGCTGTATCTAACATACACAGAGAAGAAAGACAGTATATAAGATCTCCTTAAACACACCCCATTTTAATAATTTCAGTCACTTGCTCATTTGCTTTTAAGAGAGGGTCTCACACTTTAGAACAGGCTGGCCTCAAACTCTCAGTCATTCCCATACAGTTTCTGTTGTGTTCTATGAACTATCCTGTATGTCTGCATGTTCGTTCATCAAAGTGAGAGACTTCTGAATTTCATACCTTGCCTCAATACTTCTGGCATCTCTGCCCTGCTTACTTACCATTCGCAATGCTTGTCATATAATATATCATCCTGTTATGTCCCAGTGGTTATTAATAAAATAAAAACAGGCTGCATTAGCACTTACACTTACTATAAATGAAATTATAGACTCACTGATTGCCCGTATAGTTGATGTCATTCCTCTAACCTGCCTGTCAGCTCGTTGCTTCATGTTGTTTCTCAGAGAGCCCTGTCACATAGCAGACGTGTTCACAGTGAGTAATGAGAACCCTTTCCTTATAGCGTCGCCCTTGGGTGCTCATTGGGTGGTTTCCTCAGGATTTTCCCTGCAGTGGTTAAAGCTGCACAGCCTTCCAGTGTTTTTCTATGTTGCTTATCTTTTACTGATTCTTCTCATTCTTTAGGTCTTATGGCCATAACATAGGACTTTGGTTTTCTTTGAGGTAAAGGGTGTTGTTTGTTCTTGGAGACCGTCACAGTGTTTTGCCCAGGTAGACCTCCAGCTCCTGGGTGCACACTCTGCTCACTAAGCACTGTGTGGCTCGAACTCCAGGTCCACTCTCCCAGCTGTCACTGTAGAGTTCTGTTTTCCAGCCATTCTCTGTTGCTTCTGTGTTTACTCTCCGTTTCCTACCATGAATTTCACTCTAATTTTGCTGTATTTTTTTTTCTTGTCTAATGTTTAATGAGAACCAGGTTTTTGTGCCATTGGGTCATTTTTACTTACCTCAAAATCTTTCAGAATACAAGCGGAAACTCTAGAAAACAAAAATTGCTTTCAAAACATAGTTAAATAAAAGCACATTTAAATGTTACCTTTGGAACTACTTATCACTTTTAAATTTTAATCATTAGTAGACATGATGTTGAGTAATCTGTCCTTCAAAGTGAGAACCAAACAAAATCCTTGGGCATTGTACCTGAGTGGTTTTGTTCTGTTGTTGTGAGATGGGATGTTAGCAAGTGGCTGAAACTGTTCTGGTCAGAGCTGTCTTGCTTCAGCCTCCACAGTGCTGAGTAACAGGCAGACACCACCATGTCTAACTCCTGTGTGACTTTTAGAACAGGAACAGCATCTACATTGTTCTCGGCCTATTCCAGAGCTGGGTAACTCTAGCTTGGGTACCACCTCATCTGGAGCCAATGAGACAGGGTGTTTCAACCCACGTACCA